GGAACAGGACAGCACCCCATCCTCTCCCTCCCCAGGAGCGAGCTGGAGCTGCAGGAGCAGGGCAGCGCCGTGACCAGGGAGCCAGCAGCCGAGGCAGATGGCAGAGGCTCAAGTGCAGGGGACGAGGAGCCGGAGCAGCTTGGGTTGATGTGAGCAGCACCCTGCGGGTGCCCAGCATTCCCCCCATGGATGCTGGGCTCTCTGTGGTCCCACAGCGGCCAGCACATGGGAAACAGGCTGAGGGATTTGGTGATGGAAACATTCAAGGCCAGGTTGGATGGGGCTCTGAGCAATCTGATCTAGTTAGCAGTGTCCCTGCTCACTGCAGGGGGGTTGGACTAGATGACCACTAGTGGTCCCTTCCAACCCTAAACATTCTATGATTCTATGATTCTATGAAGGCTGGGGTGCTCCTTGGCTGCCCCAGCTCGACCCAGCTCTGCCTCAGTTTCCCCTGTGCATTGCGGGTCACCCATGCCCTCCATGGGCTCATTCCATTTGGGTTTGCAAAGGGTCCAGTGAGGTCTGGGGTTGAGTTAAACACCCTCCTCACCCCCAGCTGGGGTGGGATTTGCTCTCCTCCCCCCCCGGATGACGAGTGGCCCCTGTTGCCTTCTCCCCAGGTCCAAGGGGTCCCCGGTGGAGCTGTGGCGGCCGTGGCTCTTCCTCCTGCAGCACTACTGGGTTTTCTTCTGGCTGCTTCTCCTGAGCGTTGCCTTCCTCCTCCTCGTCCGCGTCCTGGAGCTACAGCGGCTGCAGTCTGCGGCATCGCCCAAGGCCTAGCTGGAGCGGGGAGGGGGAGGCAGCCGGGAGGCACCCGCTCTCCGTCGCTGCTCCTTCCCCACGCTGTAAAACCCCAGAACCCTAGAATAATAAAATTGGAGGAAAAATGGGGGATTTTTAATGCTGGAGCAGAGGAGAACATCCTGTACTAGGATCTGAGGTTTGGTTGACGCCACCTTACAGGCGTGAGGGGCTCAGGGAGCTACAGCAGCCCTCATGGATGCTACGAGTTTGCCTGTTCTCTTGGCACACTGAGGGGTGGCAGGGATGCCACCGCGCATCCCCCTGTGCTGGGGACAGAGACCAGGCTGCTCTCGGGTTTGTTTTAAAGCCATGTCCCACTGTGCTGGCCAGGTGCCCTTCACCACGGCACATCCTCGGCCCCTGTTGCCTGGGGAGCTGTAATTAAGATCTGATGCCCATTTGCTGCTGCACAGGGGATGAAGCTGGGGCTGGAAGGAGCGGGTCAGTGTTCAGACTTTCCCATGGCACCACAAAGAGCTCACAAACAGAGGGAGCTGTTTCCGACCGCTCCGGTGCTTGGGAAAATCGCCTGGTTTGACGCAGACGCCGGTTTCCGTGTCCGCCCCAGCCTTTCGTGGCCCCGAAATGCGGGTGGGCTCCACTGCACCCACACCCAGCAGCTTTGCAGGGGGGCTGGAGGGCTCGAAACACCCCGGCCAAGCTGCAGGGAGGGCTGTGGAGGGGGGTTCTGCACCGGGACCCATGGGAAGAAGCCCAAGGGTGCTGTGGGAAGGAGGGATGGAGGTGCTGGGCTGGCCGGCCCCGCTCCCCGTGGCTGCCGGCAGTGTCACGGGTGACTCACGGGCAGCCGATGTAACCCCCACCCCGTATGGCATCTTGCCCCGTGTCCCTGAGTCACCAGCCTCATGGCAGGGTGGG